TTATGAGATATTTTTCTCTCTTTTTTCTCTAAGGGTTTTCTTATCTGGAGCAAAATCAGTTTTCGCTGAATTGCACATTTTAGAGGTTGACAGTTGCCGGATTGACTTGTACGGCGCATATGTGGTATGCTCATAGACACACTCACATACACACACACACACACACGTACACACACGTACACACGTACATACATACACACACGCACGCATACACACACACACACACAACACACACATGTACACACATACACACACGCACACGCACACAAACACGCACACAAACACTCAAACACACACACACACACACACACACACACACACACAAGAGCTCGCATACGTGACTGTGTAACCCGAATGGCGATCACCAGCGAGGCATCCGCAGAGAAGACATCTTGGCACTCCTGTCCATATACCCGAGCTGTATTTTGGGCGCTGACTTTAAATACCCGCTGGCCGATCACGGGCGCGCCCATGGGTGGGTGGGTGGGCGGGGTGGCCAGGGTGAGCGTGGATGGGCGGGTTTGGTTGGGTTGGTGGGCGTGGGTGGCCAGGGTGAGCGTGGATGGGCGACAGGGTGGAGCGGCGTGGGTGCCAGCGTGGATGGGCGGGGTTTGGTTGGTTGGTGGGGGTTGGTGTGAGCAAGCCAGGGTGAGCGGATGCGGGGTTTGGTTGGGTTGGTGGGCGTGGGTGGCCAGGGTGAGCGTGGATGGGCGGGGTTTGGTTGGGTTGGTGGGCGTTGGTGGCCAGGGTGAGCGTGGATGGGCGGGGTTTGGTTGGGTTGGTGGGCGTGGGTGGCCAGGGTGAGCGTGGATGGGCGGGGTTTGGTTGGGTTGGTGGGCGTGGTGGCCAGGGTGAGCGTGGATGGGCGGGGTTTGGTTGGGTTGGTGGGCGTGGGTGGCCAGGGTGAGCGTGGATGGCGGGGTTTGGTTGGGTTGGTGGGCGTTGGTGGCCAGGGGTGAGCGTGGATGGGCGGGGTTGGTTGGGTTGGTGTGGCGTGGGTGGCCAGGGTGAGCGTGGATGGGCGGGGTTTGGTTGGGTTGGTGGGCGTTGGTGGCAGGGTGAGCATGGCGGGGTTTGGTTGGGTTGGTGGGCGTGGGTGCCAGGGTGAGGCGGATGGGCAGTTTGGGTTGGTGGCGCAGGCGTTGGTGGCCAGGGTGAGCGTGGATGGCGGGGTTTTGGTTGGGATGGGGGGCGTGTTGGTGGCCAGGTGAGGTGGATGGCGGGTTTGGTTGGGTTGGTGGGCGTGGGTGGCCAGGGTGAGCGTGGATGGCGGGGTTTGGTTGGGTTGGTGGGCGTGGGTGGCCAGGGTGAGCGTGGATGGGCGGGGTTTGGTTGGGTTGGTGGCGTTTGGTGGCCAGGGTGCGTGGATGGGCGGGTTTGGTTGGGTTGGTGGGCGTGGGTGGCCAGGGTGAGCGTGGATGGGCGGGGTTTGGTTGGGTTGGGGGCGTGGGTGGCCAGGGTGAGCGTGGATGGGCGGGGTTTGGTTGGGGTTGGTGGGGCGTGGGTGGCCAGGGTGAGCGTGGATGGGCGGGGTTTGGTTGGGTTGGTGGGCGTTTGGTGGCCAGGGTGAGCGTGGATGGGCGGGGTTTGGTTGGGTTGGTGGGCTGGGTGGCCAGGGTGAGCGTGGATGGGCGGGTTTGTTGGGTGGGTGGGCGTTGGTGGCCAGGTGTGAGCGTGGATGGGCGGCGGTTTGGTTGGGGTTGTGGGCGTGGTGGCCAGGTGAGCGTGGATTGGGCGGGTTTGGTTGGGTTGGTTGGGCGTTTTGTGGCGCAGGGTGAGCGTGGTATGGGGGGGTTTGGTTGGGTTGGTGGGCGTTTGGTGGCCAGGGTGAGCGTGGATGGGCGGGGTTTTTGGGTGGTGGGCGTGCCAGGGTGGCGTGGTGGTCCAGGCGTGTAGGTGGTTGATGGCGGGGTTTGGTTGGGTTGTGGGCGTTTGGTGGCCAGGTGAGCGTGGATGGGCGGGGTTTGGTGGGTTGGTGGGCGTTTGGTGGCCAGGGTGAGCGTGAGGCGGGGTTTTGGTTGGCTTGGTGGGCGTGGGTGGCCAGGGTGAGCGTGGATGGCGGATGTTGGTGGGCGTGGGTGGGGTTGGATTTGTGAGCGTGGGAAGGGTGGGTGAGCGTGGAGTTTGGGCGTGTGGTGAGCGTGGATGGGCGGGGTTTGGTTGGGTTGGTGGGCGTTTGGTGGGGTCTGAGCCGTGGTGTTGGCACGTTTTGTTCGCTTCGTATATTCTCGTATTGTCTGAGTTTTGAAATTCGTAATTTATCGAATGCTATTTTTGTTTGAGATTTGTTGTTTTTTTTGTTTGTTTGTTCCTTTCTTTCTTTCTTTTTATTTCTTCTTTTACTTCGTCTTGTACTCTAGTAAAATCACTCATCCAACTTCAAATTAACGGATACTCTGATTCAGAGAAGAAATCTAAATATCTAGTACGGGTCTCGTAGCTGGCGCCGACAATGTGCTTCCTCAAAAGGCTTTACACATTCACAACTGCTTGTAGTTTCCTTCTGAAGAATTTCTCTTTCCCTTCCTCAGTCCTTCTCCTCCTCCTCCTCCTCTTCCTCCTTTCTTGTTTATTCCGTGTTATCTATAGAACGAGGAATTTTCTTCACGGATCACTTGCTAACCTACGTTTCTTTTTCGAAGAGAGAGAGAGAGAGAGAGAGAGAGAGAGAGAGAGAGAGAGAGAGAGAGAGAGAGAGAGAGAGAGAGAGAGAGAGAGAGAGAGAGAGAGAGAATTCCCTCCATAAATCCATCTGATTTTATGTAGCTGAATTAACTCTGTTGTCTTACCTTGATTTCTGAGTATAAATGGAATTACAGTGGTACAAAAAAAAAGTATATGAAGATTTTGACTGGTTTTAACTCCCACCATGAAATTCCTCTATTTAGAAAAAAATTATCCCAAGATTTCTTTTCCTTTTTTAAACCTCTTTGCCTTTACGCTCCCTATAGTTTTGGACCAGGCTTGAATTAGGTCATCTTATACGGAGTCAAAAGCTGATTATTATTCTGATTATTCCGGTTAATTCCAATGCCCAATAGCGTGGCTGATCCGTTGCGCCGTTGAGTTGGCACTTGGCGCCGATGGGTGAGAGAGTGCACGTGGCAATGCATATATATTCGTAGCGTGTGTGTGTGTGTGTTGTGTGTGTGTTGTTGTTGTGTGTGTGTGCGTGTGTTGTGTGTGTGTGTGTGTGTTTGTGTGTGTATGTGTGTGTGTGTGTGTGTGTGTGTGTGTGTGTGTGGTGTGTGTGTGTGTGTGTGTGTGTGTTGTGTGTGTGTGTGTGTGTGTGCGTGTGTGTGTGTGTGTTTGTATGTATGTGTGGATGTGCATGTATATGTGTTGTGTATATATGTATGTGTGTGGATATGTTTATGGATGTGTGTGTTCGTATATCTGTGTGTCTGTATCTACAAAATCAACCTTGCAAACCTTTTCTCTTAAGAATCTATTCGACGCCCAACTATAAAAAAAAAAATCCTAAGCCTAATTTCAGAACCAAAACACCTTACATAATTCTCTCCAAGATAAAACCAATACCACTTCCTCATCCACATAAAGCAGAACAGGAGACGTAGGATAAAACAAAACAAAAAAAAGATATTTATTCCTACCACAGGAATATAACACAGCGCCGTGCAGTTGTACCGGCAACAATATGGCCAACCGGATGCGTTCCCCTTGCACCTATTTCCTAGTTATTGCCTTCCTTCTTGACATCGCACCTACCACGTCTGAGCCTTTTATGCCCAAGTACTTTCTCCCCTTCGAGCAATGCCGGCGAACTCACCCCTCTGTCACGGCCGGAAGAACTGACACGGCGAACTCGCCCCTTTGTCACGGCCGGAAGAACTGACACGGCGAACTCACCCTCTTTCACGGCCGGAAGAACTGACACGGCGAACTCGCCCCTTTGTCACGGCCGGAAGAACTGACACGCGAACTCACCCCTTGTCACGGCCGGAAAAATGACACGGCGAAACTCACCCCTTTGTCACGGCCGGAAGAACTGACACGGCGAACTCACCCTTTACTGACACGGCGAACTCCCCTTGTCACGGCCGGAAGAACTGACACGGCGAACTCACCCCTTTGTCACGGCCGGAAGAAATGACACGGCGAACTCACCCCTTTGTCACGGCCGGAAGAATGACACGGCGAACTCAGCCCTTTGTCACGGCCGGAAGAACTGACCGGCGAACTCACCCCTTTGTCACGGCCGGAGAACTGACACGGCGAACTCACCCCTTTGTTTGAAACTCACCCCTTTGTCACGGCCGGAAGAAATGACACGGCGAACTCACCCCTTTGTCACGGCCGGAAGAAATGACACGGCGAACTCACCCCTTTGTCACGGTCGGAAGAACTGACACGGCGACTCACCCCTTTGTCACGGCCGGAAGAACTGACACGGCGAACTCACCCCTTTGTCACGGCCGGAAGAACTGACACGGCGAACTCACCCCTTTGTCACGGCCGGAAGAAATGACACGGCGAACTCACCCCTTGTCACGGCCGGAAGAATGACACGGCGAACTCACCCCTTTGTCACGGCCGGAAGAACTGACACGGCGAACTCACCCCTTTGTCACGGCCGGAAGAACTGACAAGGCGAACTCACCCCTTTGTCACGGCCGGAAGAACTGACACGGCGAACTCACCCTTTGTCACCGGAAGAACTGACACGGCGGTCAAAAGAACTGACACGCGAACTCACCCCTTTGTCACGGTCGGAAGAACTGACACGGCGAACTCAGCCCTTTGTCACGGCCGGAAGAACTGACACGGGCGAACTCACCCCTTTGTCACGGCCGGAAAGAACTGGGCGAACTCAGCCCTTTGTCACGGCGAAGAACTGACACGACTCACGGCCGGAAGAACTGACACGGCGAACTCATCCCTTTGTCACGGCCGGAAGAACTGACACGGCGAACTCAGCCCTTTGGCACGGCCGGAAGAACTGACACGGCGAACTCAGCCCTTTGTCACGGCCGGAAGAA